TAAAAGAGGGCCGTTTTCAACATTTGTTCAGTTGCTTGCCGGCAGTGTGATTCTTTGTATTTTGCAATAAATCACATTGGACCTGGAATTCAGCTGCTTCTGCCTGATTTTTGGATCATTGTTTGAAGACTTTTCTGCCATTTAAGAACTTTGAATTTTTACAAAACTTAGCTCCAATTTTAAGTCGTTGGAGGGATTTTTCCACGACATGTGCCATTGCAAGGCTTTTTGGAGTCAGCGTAACAAAAGTTCGTCAGATGGCAGAGAATGACATAAGGTGAGTGTTATGATTTTATGTTCAATGCTTTTCCGGATTGGATGCCACATTAATGTTTTGGATTTATGTTCTATTGAATTCCCAGCCAACTGGGAATTTATATTTCTGATACCTTAAGATGTTTATTGCCCTCCCTGGTAGGGGTGGGGAAATATGTTAATCAGATATTATTTCGGCTGTTATACATTGTTTATGAACACACGGCCTACTAGCTGTGTGTTAAAACAAATAAATCAAAGAGTGATTCGAGCACTAATCATGGTCAAACTGTTAATTCTGCACATACATGGAATAAATTCACCATAACTTCTGTTCAAAATATAAGAGTTAAATAACAAAAATAATTCGGCCCCAAGTCAAACATATTTCAGTTTAACACTCTTGACTAAAACTAGTGAAATGATCAACATCATCAAAAGACACATTGTTTGTTCTGTCCCAAATTATGCCAGACCTAAAAAAACTTGAGTTTCATCCAGCAACAGCTCAGCAGTCAGGCAAACAACCAGGGGTTTCTTTGTCTCATTGGCTCATTAAGGCAGGCTTTTCATCCAGTCTGGCTCTATAAGTTCTGAAACTCAAGAGAAACGTGTTGCAAAAGGTCTATTTTGTTTGGATCTGACTGAATGGTCACCATAATGACTTATCTTTGAGGATTCTGGAGACCTGGGTCTTTCTGGGCCTTGGATCTCTGTCTCTCCAGAGACCCTGCCGAAGCAGACCCCAGCTTCATGGGCAAGAGAGCAGGAAAAGAAAGAGGAATCTGGTTTTCTCTGTCCTCATAGAGAGGGGCTGTCAAGTTACACCTATGTGGGAGGTCTTGTGGAGGAGTTTGCTGAAACGGGGGGTTGGAGAGATCTTATAGCTGGTTATTCACCAAACTTTTATTTCCTTCTCTGGTCAGGATTTGAGTAGGACCTTTAAACTGGTCTCCACCTTGGAGCCAGGCTTACTGGAATAAAAACTGAACCTCCCCGTGTAAAGAGCCAAAAACCCTTAGGACTCAGAAGGGGAGGAACACTGACGAGCAGGAGACGAGACAGACACAAAACCCTCTTTCCACTGGCCGCCAGGATCCAGAACATGACACTTGGAATAAACAGAACTACACAAACTAACAGAAAACAAATAATGATCTGGCCACGAATGCTCAGGCTGAACAGAATATAAACCAAGAGGAATAAATGATAATTGCAGCAGGGAGGGGAAAACGACAGGTGAAAGAAATAACCAAATAAGGAAGACCAAACATGCCAGATCATGACATACAATGAAAGAATAAAACTGACATATTATAACATGCATATAAATAAATATTTAAAAAATAAGTAATTACGGTAATAAATAAAGTTGAAGAATATAATGGACAATAAATAAATAAGGTAATAATTACAAAGACAAATAAATAAATAAAGAAGCTAATTAAGAGAGATATAAACATTTATGTCTCACTGTGTAATTTATTTTCTACCTACATACATTTGTTTATTGTATTTTTGGTGTTAATTAATTGTATGCTTATTTATTTATTGAGCACTTATATAATTTCAGTACTTACTTTTAAATATGGTAGAGCTGGTCCTCCATACCGGTGCATATTATCTAATTATCTTATTTTAAGAGTGAAAAGACCTCATTCCTTTGGTGAATCATGTTATTTGCCAACTCAAATTAAGGGTAAATACACCTGAAATTTAATATGTATTATAGGGCTGCTCAGTGGAGCAGTTGGCAGCACTGCTGCCTTGCAGCAAGAAGGTTCTTCAAACTTATCAAAGAGATGAGGGCAACATATTGACCATTACAGTGGCCATTACTATTTTAGTTTTAATTATACTGGTTAAAGCGTTAGTCCAAAATGGTTTATTGTTTGACTTTTTTCATGCAATCCCCCAAAATTGAAAAAATCTTTCTTCAGATAAAATAATGAGCGTTCTATCCTGAAGAGACCAGAAGTACACGGCTGAGGTGGAAATGTATAAAAATTTAAATGAAAGTATCAGTAAAATGTCATTGTTTTTTAAATCTACTTAATACAGCATCACCTATTTTGTTGTAAAAGGAAAAAGTAGTAACATTTAAAAGAGTGGGATTCAAATGTTGGTCTGTTTATTTTGACTCCAACGAAATGCCAAATTTGTATTTAATATGGTTGTTTTTCAAAGAAAGCCAAAGGAACAGAACAGCACATAAAATCTTTTGATCTAAATATAAAGGATTTAAAAGGTTAATGCCAGTCTCTTCTTTGGAATAAAGAAACCTGAAGCAAGTTCAATTCATTTAATTCTCATTGGATTTGAACATGAACATAATTTATTCTGCAGAACAGATACATACTTTGTAGCTCCTGGAAAAAACTCAGTGTGTACTAATTTTTAAAAGAAAAAAAAGGAACAGCAGAGAGATAAGAAACACAAACTAAAATCAACAATCAGAAAAAAAGACATAAAATCTATTTTGGTTTACAGATCTCTGCAGAGTGTCCTTCGGAGTGAACCCAAAGTCCAGCATGTAGCGGCTGAGTGAATGTGGTCTGGACTCTGTGGAGGAGAGTCATGGTTTCAGAGACGCTGTAGAAGGACAGAATCCCTGCTTTGTGATCCAGGTACACTCCTATTCTGGAGGAAACAGGACCTGAGATGGAGGTCCACATGTTGTTGTGACCATATTTGTAACCATCTTGGGAAACCTCTAATGCCCATGATTTTTCATTCTTCCCAAACAGACATTCATTTCCATTTCCTACTCTGCTGATATTGTTGTATACGACTGCTACATAAACTATTCCTTTCCACTCCACCTCCCAGTAATGACGTCTATTTAGACTCTCTCTACTCAGAACCGACCACCAGGCAGTGAATCTTCCTGGGTGACTAGAATAAGACTGAGGTTCATTCATCGCTTTTATCTTCCTGTTCCCCTCTGATAACAACAGTTTTCTGTTTGCTGTATTTGGATCCAGTGTAATTTCACATAAATATTTTAAAAATCCAGCTCTTCTCTTTGGTTCTGAAAGTAAAGCATCCACCCCAGTGATTGTCAGTGAGATGTTTGTCCATGTGTCTCTCAGAATGTCCTGTAGTTTATCTCTGAGCTCTGACACAGCTGCTGTCACATCCTCAAAGTGTCTCAGAGGACGGACATTGATGCTGGATGAGTGTGTAGACTCACTGAGTGCTGACAGTGAGGGGTAGCTGTGGAGAAACTGGTTGTGATCCTCTG